TTTAATTATTTTTTAAATAAAAATAAAAATATTTTAATTTTCTTTTATAACATTTTATTAAAATAACTTAATTTTAAAATATTTTTTATCTAATTAAAATACTTTTTCTGTTTAATTTTTTCCACACCGGAAAGGATAAACATTAATCTCTTTTCATGAACCCCAGCACTTCGACTACACGCAGTCATACTAACGGCAGATATGCTTCCACCCCAGTTCTAATGGATCCCAAAGGCTCCATCGTCTTTTCCACCATCAGCAGGCCAAACTATGGCTTCGACGTCTTCTTCGTCCAACTAAACCACATCACTGCCGCCATTGAGGACTGCCTCACTGATGGCTGCTCTGTCAACTTCAATGCCCAATTCGTTGATGAAGACCAATCCGTTGTCTTTGTCTCCGGAAGATCAAGATCACCCCGAATCTATCTCACTCGCCCTGGCCTACCCAATCTCGAGTAGGTAGCATCCGTGCCCCACAGCCTCTTTCACGACCATCCTATCCTGAAGAACAACCACCTCTACTTTGTTTCAGCTCAAGAGTAACCCGATCGCCAATTCCAGAGCTAGGCAGCTCTTCACTCAACTGAAATCGATGATAAGGATAAGAAAATTACGCGGTTGACCCTTTACGGAGCCATCGATCATAGCCCTACAATTTCCAAGTCTAGGAAATTTCTTGTCGTCGCATCTTATGGGTCTCGCTCGTGGGGCGGTGAATTTCACGAGCTCAACATGGATATAGTTGTTTTCCCAAAATCCGACTTGAGGATGATGACGATGATTCGAGTGATGGCGAGGATGATGAATCAAATGCTGAGAGCGATTTGTCCGACGATGTGTTGGCTGAGGTTGATTCGGACGATGAAAGCCTCATCCCCGTCGGTGAGAGCGAAGAGCGCAGACGAAATTCATTTCAAAATTGAAATTCATGGGTTTGAGAGTGAAATTGAAATACACGGACTTAACTCTTTAGAATTACTTTGTTGAAATGCATGTATTTCATGTAAATTCAATTACTTTCTGTTTATATGAAAATAAACAGTGATATTGAATTTTAGCCTTTCAAATTT